GCTTAACATTTAGACTACTGAGCCAGCAACCAACAATGTTAATGTTTAATTTCGACCAATCCACAATATTGCGCCACCTTCCACTATTGTCTTCAGTGAGTTAATATCTCATAACAGACCTAGTTGAACTCTACTGGTCACGACTTCTTACTAGAACTTCAGGAAATCCATCTTGGTGATCGTCACTAATGAGCATATGATGACTATAATAAGAGAGTCGTGTTGTGGATATTATAGTAATTTAATAGTTGATATCATAAGTCAGTTGAAACTAAACCATCATGGAAAACCTCGAAGCAGTGGATGGCCGTTTCTTCCTAGTACGAGACTCCTCAGTAGTGCGTATCCACGATCCTAACTCAAGAGATTCAAAGAAATTAAAAGGCTGTTTTTACACATTTTTAAGATTGAAAAAAATTAAAAGCTTTTAGTGGACTTATATCTGGGTTCAGTTAAATCGTATGCTGATTATTGTTGCAATATACATTTCACTAACTCTTGTACATAATTATCTACTTAATTCACATTAGAGAATAATGAAATAAAATATACCAACTACAAGAATGAATTTTTAAAATGGAAGAGAATAAACCAGCTTCCAGCTGAAGAGGAAATTGGGAAAAGACGATGGTAATGGATAAGATATACATTACGCAAATCATGAAACTGCATCACGAGGCAAGCCTTAACTTAGAATCTCTTGTGACTTCAAACTTGGATCGCTTTTTACCCCGTGCCAATTGTTGTGTCCTTGACTGAAAGATTAGAGCGAAGCGTTTTATCGATTGCTTCAGTGACACTGAAAACACGTACGGACGGCCTAGAGTCTCGATTGGTCCCGACCCCCGATCCAAGGATATGGTAATCATAGATTAGTCGATCGTAAATATCAACTACTTAGATTCAGTCTCATTCCATCCACCAATCACGAGATTCTGCCCCTTTTTATCAACATGACAAAACTTCTGTTAACGTATTTTGTTTGTGCTCCTAATTTATTGTTCAGCACATGTGATTAATTATTCTCCTTTTTCTAACTTACTGCACCTATTCATGCTGTTGTAAGGATTGTAATCAATTTATATTGTTGAAGCAGTTAAAAGTTATTGCCTATATACAGATTACCAGTTCTGATTACAGTCTTGATAAAACCCTATTCACGATAGTCTGGGTATTTGTATACAAAATCTCTCTGTAATTCCTACCACAACATCGGTGCTAAACATGGCACACCTAACCTTGCCCCACAGATTTCCCTCTCCAACTATGAAGCCTTTAATGTTCGGAGCTAACGCATCAGAAACTCACAAGATGGCTGTGTGTGACCGGCTCCAAGTAGTTTCCTCTCGATCTGTGCAGTCATACTCACAGGTCGACAAGACCACTGCTAGTCCAGTTTTCCTTTCAGATCATTCAAGAGGAAATATTCCTGTATAGTTTGTGGAACCGGGGAGTGACAATTGCTTCCATACCTCCAGCCTCACTCTGGATTAAATCCCTTCTTTATAACTCAACTCATTTACCAAGAACTAGATTTATGTTCTCGGCGTTGGGCTACACCTGTTTGTCTCTGTGGCGCATATATATTGGTGCCCTCTTGTACCAATATTTGTGTTTTCAAATAAATAAGTATGATGAACTGTGTGCGTTGAGAGCTAGTCACACGGTCTGATTACTTAACTTGAATGAAATGGAGTTGGGTTCAAACCTACGACCTGCTAGTTGGAAGTCAAATTCTTTAAACAACCATTGGAAATATCACTTAGTTATGAAAAACACCTAGCTTTGAATCACTAAATTAGTCAGTCATAAGCAACATACAACTTCGCACATATGTTCATCAATTCAACTTACCACATCATATCATCACAGCGAGACGAAATTTACAAGACAAATATCACAATAATAAAAGTAGTAACAGTGTTAGTGGTAGTACGAATGGTTAGCTATAGACGATGTAATCCGATAAGAAAGAATATGTTCACGGAACAAAAAGCATACGATTATTTCAAAACTCAAGACCTAAAGTTAAACAAAAAGTGAGTGCATCTGCTTCATTTCTATTCATTCCAAAAGCCAACGACTTCATGCGGTGATACTACCACCAGCTCTCTTCTAAACTACTCTTACAGCAGCCAACCTAGTATGTTGGGGCAGGGGGTGGTTGGGGTAATGTAACATACATCCCATTTGATCCAACGATAGAACTACCACATCAGTCTAGACAACTGGGTAGTATCTATAACTGTGATATAAGAAGCAAGGCTCAAAGCTGAGTACGCGAATCTCTACTTGGCAAAAGTGTCATTAAAACAATGATCTCTCCAGTTTCGAATTGGTTTTCATGCTTATTGACATTAATCTCAGTAATTTAAATCTCAAAATCTTGAGCTTCATTCTCTTATCTTTATTGGTTTTTGGTGAATTGCATTATTTCTTTTTACTCAGTTTTCCACTCTGCTATTGGTTAGTGTAAGTTCAACCTCGACTATGTGACTTTCCATCTTGTTAGTTCAGTGTCTTGTCTTGCTGTACTCTTAATGGTTAAAACATGGATACTGTGATCTGTCCGACTTACTTCCTGGTCTACTGAATTAATAGATGCTTGGAAACTCATCTCGTCAGTCTTGGAGCATGACGAGGAGCAAAGATAACTTCAACATAAACTGATAAAAAGTCTACACAATGTTTGTGATTTGTAGGCAAGTCAGAGAAATGAAGAGACAGAAAAGTTATCATGAATAGGTTACGATAGACAACTTTAGACTTATGAAAAAAAACGTATATTAAAAACTGCCGCCCAGTGATTCGAGGTTTTCCATGGTGGTCTAGCTTCAATTAACTCATGATCTCAACTACTGAAATTACTAAAATCTCCACAAAACCCCTTCTGATAAAGTTTTTAATTGCAACATTACATAGAAAGAAGAATCAGTATGAAGGCTGTATATATTCACCTGAGATTGACAAGTGGTAATTGAAACGGCACCTAAATGTAAAAGGTTTTTCTGTAGACTGACTTCAATTATTTAATGTAGGGTAATATCATATATTAGTCGTTCGACCTTATCTAGAATGTATTAATCCTATTTTGTTTTACGAAAATCTCTGTTTTTCATTATTTAAAATTATCATAAACTATCATAAGACGGACAACACTGCGAAGTAGTGCATGGAGGACAGCTGACAGACGCATTCCGAGTGAGGACCGGAGTCAGACAAGGCTATCTACTCTCCCTCTTCCAGTTTCGTCTCGTGGTCGATTGTAAAATGAAAAACTCGATATCTGAGAGGAAATATGGAATACAGTGAACAGCTCTAAATCAACTAGAAGATTTGGACTTCGCAAATGACCTGACCCTTCTATCTAATACGCACGAACAATGCAGATGAAGACAAACAATGTAGCAGCAGCTTCTAAAGCAGTAGGCCTCAACATACACAAAGGAAGAAGCAACATCCTTATATACAACTCAGAGAACACCAACTCTATATCAGTTGATGGAGAAACTGTGGATGGTGTGTAATCTTCCACGTACCTGGACAGCATCATCGATGAACAAGGAGGATCCGGTTATGTAAAGGTGAGGATTGGCAAACAAGGACAGTATTCCTACAGTGGAAGTACATGTAGAACTTAAAACAACTGTTTTCAAGTCAATATCAAAGTCAGAATCTCCCATATGAACGTCAAGACAGTTCCACTGTATGGAGCTGAAACGTCGAGAACTACCACAACCATCATCGAAAAGGTACAAAAAATTATAAACCATTGTCTGCGTAAGATACTCAATATCCGTTGACAAGATACCATCAGCAACAGGCTACTGTGGGACAGAGCAAACCAGCTTCCAATTGAAGCAGAAATTAGGAAAAGATGTTGGAAGTGTATAGGAAGAAGAAATCATCAAACTACATCACGAGGCAAGCACTTACTTGGAATCCTGAAAGAAGACAGAAAAGACGAAGGCCAAAGAGTACACTGAGTTGGGAATCAGAAGCAGACATGTAAAAGATGAATAACAACTGGAAAGGATTGCTCAGGTTAGGGGCGGCCAAACCGAAATGTGGCATCAGTCCTTGAACCCACTAACTTCTAGTCTGAGCCATGTTGGTAGATGCAGACTACTTGGTTGGAGTCCGCGTGATTCGTAACCAATAGTTGGAGACTCTGGGTGACATGGCTCAAATCGATCACAATGGCGTGGTGTATACACTCTCTGTCTTCCCTTAAACTAAGAGATTAAAATCGCTTCATATCTTTCTTTCTATGAACTAATTCTTTCTTCCTGTACTATATCCTTATTGCAATCTTTCCTTTATATATTACCACCTCTAAATTAACTACTTTCATGAATTCGGTGTCCATCTTGTTGTGCTAATGAGGTATGGCAACTTGGACCGATGCATATATGTGCCTGGTCTAACGTTGTAGCTGACTAACAGAGGATTGCTCAGGATAATATTAAATGGATAGTGCTGGTGAGAGGCCTATACTCCTCCATGAGGGGTAACAGGCGTAAGTAAGTAATCAACAATAAAGACTACGAGAAAACATTTTCTGTAAACCAAACTATTAATCTTTTTAAGAAGAAAAAAATGAACATGTTGAAGATCATTAACCTCACTTCTTTTATATTCTCTAATATTTAAATATTATTAAGATAATAGTAATAATAGTATTAACATACATCAGTAACATTTGCATTCCATTTACATCCCGTCGATGAAAGAAAATATAATGATAATTATAAATAAGATGAAAAAGTAACTGTGGTTTTTTTTTACAAGGCAAAACAACAACAACAACACCTCGCCCGTTCATAATTAGAATAATAATAGTCACCAATCGACATTATCCCTTCGACATATGCAAATAAATATCTAGTTATATAACTGTACAAACAAGAAGGGATAACATAGAATAATCACAGAATAGACAATACAATCATACATACATACATGCATACACATATAAGGAGAGAAACAAAATAACAGTATTAGTAACCAGTATAACGTGAATATGATGAGTGAGGTAGATTTGACATATGAGATGGTTGATTATTATTACCAGTATTTATTACTGTTGTTGGTGTTATATCAGATCGAATCATTTGATTAGATTGAGATTGGTTAATAATACGAGAATGAATTCTAGATTGATTTAATGGTGTATCAACTTGTGACGGTATATAAGACATATGTTGTTGTTGTTGTTGTGATGGAACATCAGTTTGTAGATGACTAGCTGGAGATTCATAAGTTGATGAACGTGACATTATTGTTGTACCAGATTGATGAATAGAATTCATGACAGGATTTATCGACTGTCGTTTAAATTGCTCATCGATACTTGATTCATTTGTATTCATCATATAATTAGCTTCATCAGATGGAGGAGCACGAAATGAATATTGTTGAGATTGATGATTAGATATTGGATAAGGTGGTGGATTTGGCATACCAGGTGGAAGTTGTTGGGGTGTTCCAGTAGGATGACTGAGAATTTGATGAGATTGTTGTTGAGATGACTGTTGCATAGATCGAGCAACATTGCCAGCCCCACCTCCACTTGTTGTTAAATGCCGTCTTAGTGAGCCAGATGGACTATCAACCAGATGAGTATTAGATTGGTTAAATTGGCTACTCAGTTGTGATTGGTCAAACACATGACCTTGATGCGACAAAACAACAGGGTTATTTGCACTGAAACTTGATCCATACGACTGCTCAGGATGAAGTTGTTGTTGTTGTTGATGGTGCTGCTGGGCACGATTACGCAAGAAACCGCTTAAATTAGCCAAATGTTGTTGCTGATGATGTCCACGAGTGGATGATGGCGGTTGTTGTTGTTGCATTTCAAGTAAATTCATATTATAAACATTTTGTTTGTTTGGCCATTGGTGATTGGATTCATTGACTTGTTGTTCCGGATTTATAATATTATAAGAGTATAAATTTACGGAACTATTATTAGTACTATTACTATTCATCCTTTCATAGCCTACGACATTCACTGAACCAGTGGTATGCATACCACCACGAGTAGTTGCACTACTGGGACGTATAGAATTTCTATCTGATGTTATATTACCACCACCACCACGACGTCCTGATCCTCGTTTACGTTTTGTCGTTGTTGTTGCTGTTTTCGCTGCTGATGTCAACACATGGCCAGCGACGACACTGTTATTCATCGGTGTTGATAGCATAGTAGCATTATTTGAAGGCGGTGGTATTGAAGATGTTCCTGTTGGATTAATTTGAATTTGTTGTTGAGATGATGTTGATGACTGAGATGCAATCAATCTGTCATTATACTCCATACCTAATAGTTTATTAGTTTTATGCAAATTAACATCCATTTGATGATTATGATGATGACTGAGAGGATATGTGATTGTATTCATATGTCCTGCTAATGTTACACAATGATTCACATTATTCATAGATCGTTGATCTAATTCATTCGGATTCGAATAATCATTCAAAACAGTTTGTTGAGATGGTAATTTACGCGTTGAATTAGTATATGCCTGATCTGAATTTAAATGTATCTGTTGTTGTTGTTGATGATGATGATGATGATGCCCATGAATTTGTTGTGGATGTGAGTGAATTTGTAATGAAGATGACGAAGACGATACAACACCAATACCACTACCAATAGTCCCTCCTCCTAAGGATCCCGATGAGGATGGTTGAAAAGCATTAATACGATTATTTAATGATAATTTATCATTTATTTCAACATCATTTCTGGTATTCAACAATTTCCCACGTCCAATTTGCATACTATTACTATTATTCGTTGTAGTATCAACGGTTGTTGACCCAGAAGATGTTGTCATCATCATCATTGACATCATCATATTAGTATTACCACAATCAATTTGATTAACAGATTTTATTGATGAATTCGATTCATTAAACATTAAATTATTTGTAGAATGACATGATATAGAAGAGATATTATGTTTTTGATCATATAATACACCACTAGTAGATTGATGATAATTACTGTTCGACTCCCCACTTCTAATATTAATATTGTTATTATTACTACCATTGATCGATAGAAATTGATTTGAACATTCAGATAAATTTGTCTCAGATAATTGTGTCATATCATTTAACGATAATATTTGAGACTCTCTCATTACATCCATAGAATTACTGTTATGATTTTTGTTGTATATACTACTTATAGAAGTGTTGTTAGTAATATTATTAGTAGTATCATTATTATTATTATTGGAATTTTCTGTTTTTATCATTTTAATCATATCAGAATTATCATGTTCACCAACATCAGATAGTTTAACATGATTCATTGATATATCTTCATCAAATGTCTGTGGATAAATTGGTATCATATAAAATTCTGGTGGACGATACATTCTATGAAAATGATCATGACGTATTAAACGATTTGCTTGTTCTTCAATACGTGACAATATAGATTCTGTATTTACAGCACCATGAATAGATAATAATAATGGTTGTTTACTTGGATCATAAATTTCCCATGGATTAAAACGTTCTTTACCTAATAATTGATATCCATGCCTTTTAAATTGACCAACACTACCCGATTGTAGTATAGAATTAGATGATGATGATGATGAAGTAAGAAATCTTGATGCACCAGTTAATAAACAATTTCCAGCTTTACCTGAACCTTTTGAATTACTTAATTTATTACTATTATTATTATTATTAATACCACTTGAACCAATACCACTACCACCTCCACTGGATCCAGTACCACTACCACTACCACCACTATTACTGCTACTAGTACCAAGTGTTCCACTATTCATATTTGATAATCCACCACGTGATCCATGATGACGTATTTGACGCCCAGTAACAAATATTGTATATGAATTTTTTGTTAATAATAATAATGGACGTATATATTCAATACCAGTATTAGATGGATGTTCTAATAATTCACGACGTAATTTTTTTGCAATCATTTGATAATGTTTCCCTTCAATACCAGTACGTGATGTCAATGTATGAATTAATAGTTGTAACATATCATAAACTATATAAAATAAGATAGAATTAGATTCAGGTTCTATTATTCCATAACTAATTAATTGAGTCAATAGAGTAATCCAACGTATAGTCATATCAATATCTAATTGTATAATATGAAATTTTTGTCCAATTAATATTAAACGATATTTTAAACAATTTTGTATAATTTGGCGGGTATGTAAATTTTCTGGGACATGATCAATTAAATGACGTGAATTCAATAAGAAATATTCAATTTGTTCATATAATGAATCAATGATAAAATCACAATCTGGTAAACATATTTGTAATAATGAAAAAAATGTTGGATGAGTTAATAAAATAGAATGATGTAATAAAATACTTTCTTTATCTTCATCATTTTTATGTTTCCAAAAATTTTTGATACCTTTTAAGATCTAAAATTGTGAAAAAATGAAAAAACCAGAATATACTACTGATCATAATAATCAATGATATGATAGATGTGTGTATGGGGGGCTAGGATACTGCCAGGGTGCCCGAAACTTTCGTTTCCACCTACCGCGTTAAAGTGTCATTCTCTCAAGTTTGTTAACAACACCCGCCAAACCAGCCCCCGACCAGTTGTTGCTACCTTGATGTGATGGTCGGGCTTGCCTATCGTGATGAAGCAACCGAGCTATACTGGCTGGAACAACTGTCCGTCAAGGTCCTACCATGTCAGACAGGTCGGTTGAAGAGCGGTAAGACTAAAAGCAACAAACCCAAGGTCCGAAGGCGAAGTCGTACTGCTCACAGAACAGAGGTGTGACAGCAGTAAGGTGTTTCCTTCAGACAACCAGCATGACAGCGATGCTGCCTTCCCACAAGGAGGGGTGGGGTTAGAAAAGGTCGACCCTAAAAATGCACACCTCGCCTTATCCCACGGATATCCGTCTCCGGCGGTAAGGTCTCAATAAGTACGGAGCTAACACGAAAATTACTCACAAAAAGGTCGTTTGTGAGAGACCTCAAGCAGTTGTCCCTTGGGCACTGAGGTCATGCTCCCAGATCACTAAGACCACCTCTAATCCGATTTTCTTTTCATGTCACTCCAGAAGAACCCTTCCACGGTGTGGGCAACCGCGAAGTGATAACCGTCCTCATACCTCTAACAGCAATCAAGACCACTGTATTCATAATCAACCTCCCTCGTCAATTCCTATTATTCCTCCTACATCGACTTTCAACGCCAAACATCCTCTTTCGGGTTCCTCCTCAAGTATTCAACCCGTCCCCCAACCACCCAATGAAAGTTGTCAGAATCATGAGTAAACAAATTTAACAAATGTTTTCAATGATTATTCGACCTTGCTTACACTTAAATAATGATAATCAATAAATGATTTGTTTATTGAAAACTAATTCATGTCAAATGATTCAATCAATGTAGGAAATAAGAAAATCATGTTTATCGATGGCGAATTTATTAATTTATTGATTGATTTCATCACATAACTATTGATGCAAGGGGGTACCAAATGGGCAGGCGCAACACTGCCTTCTCGAGGCAGGGGTATTGTTTACAAAATCGAGAGGACGAAAAGCGAATGTCCGGTGTTTTAACTAAGTTGGTGAATATGGATAGTCCACCTAGTACAGTCGGAAAACCCTGATTCCAAACAAACGGTGCACATGGGATCCAGTACTCTGAGGGAACAAATGGCGTATGAACCAACCGTTGGTCATCGGCTACCATGGAACTACATCTCCTTACGATGCTCCACTGCCTCGTGGATCAAACCTTCAGGTCGAAGGCTCTAGGCGTGGCCCCCAAAGAAAACCACCAGCTTCGGTATCACAGCCCTCACATATATCAAATGAAATTTGTGTGGCGCATATTTATTTGGTGCCTCCTTGTACCAATATCTGTGTTCAAATAAAAATAATACACAAATAACTTGATTTGTGTGAGGGCTATGATACCGCCCGGGTTCCCAAACCCTCCATGTCGATCTACCCGGTTAAAGCACCGTCCTCTCAATTTCGTAAGCAACACCCTCCAGTGAAGTTTTCATAATCATGAGTAAAAAAATTAAGAAACGTTTTCAATGCTTATTCGACCATGCTTACACCCAAAGAAAACAAAACAGAATAAAACATACTACTACTAATACTACTACTACTACCAATAATAATAATAATAATAATATTAATAATAATAATAGTAATAATTTATTGAAAACTAATTCATGTCAAATAATCCGATCAATGTACGAGGTAAGCAAACCATGCTTATCGATAGAGAATTAATTTATTGATTTTAACATATAAATATTGATCCTAGAGGAGTGGACACCAAATACATATGCGCCATAAATAACAATGAGGCCAGTAGTAATTATCATTGATTTGTATGGGCTCTATGATATTGCCTGGGTGGCAAAACCCTCCGTATCAACCTACTCGGTTAAAGCGCAATCCTTTACATTTTCTAAACAACACCCCCCAGTGAAGTTGTTATAATCATGAGTAAAAAGAATAAAAAACGTTTTCAATTCGTACTTGACCTATTCGATCCAATGTTTAGACAATTCCTTAATATAATGTGACTGCCATTTAATATCACCAGTAGTGAGTATTTCACTCCCAAGATCATTGAACTCTATCAATCACTCGTTCCTACTACAACTACCTTAATCTATTTTCAAGTTAATACAATAAGATTTACATTTGTAATAACTTCATCTATGATCATATCTCTGAAAAAGCTGACACCAAATTAATATTGACAGGAGAAATGATGGAGGTGTGAAATTTTCATCGATAAGTGAAATTGTCATAACCATGAGTAGAAAAATTTAACAAACGTTCGCAATGCTTATTCAATCTTGCTTACACCCAAATTGATAATAAACGGAATAGCAAGTCAGTCAGTCAGTCATAAATAACGTAGGATCTACCATATACTTGTAACAGTCCAAGTTATCACAATCCTTCAGCATAGAGAGACGAAATTAACATCAATCAATAACAAAATAGTAAAAGTACAACTGGAGGGTAACTGAAGGCCAGTTGAACTGTATTCTGAAATGTTCCACGTATAGTTCCAATCATTTGAACTGAGAGTAGATTAAATCCCATATTCTTCGCGATAGTATTGCTGACACGTGACTTTTTAATACATGTTTCTTTCATAAGTCTGTAAAGTTGTCTATTGTTACCTATTCATTATAACTTTTCGTTGCCTTTTCTACAAATCACAAACATTGTGTAGACTTTTTGTCAGTTTATGTTGAAGTTATCTTTGCTCCTCGTCATGTTCGATGACTGACGGGATAAGTTTTCAAACTCCTATTAATTCAGCGAAGAGTTCTCTTTTCGGCGAATTCATTTCAAAGCTGTACAATCGCAAACATATATATACTTATTTTTACAGGATGATAATAATACTGATAATCAACTTCTGTTATACATGGTGACAGTGAAGTTAAATAAACAAAGGTCATCTGACCAACTCAATCTGCATTTACCAATTTACCTGCTCTTGTGGAGCTAGGTATATAGGTCGTTCGATGTGTACTTTGTCCAAAAGAATTCAAGAACATTATCCGGCGTGGCTAAAAAGAGGCAACGGCTCATTAAGAAGTTCTATAATCGAACACCTTGTGAACACAGGTCACTCAATCAAGACAGACCCTGAGTTCAAAGTCATCTACAAGGTAAGTAGAAGTTTTCCGATGACAATTAGACTGCATCTTCTTTGCATTGCCGAAGTAATAGCCATACATCTGGAAAAAACATAATTGTGTATGTAAAATAGACTGGTACAACCTCTTCTTCTACCATGATCTTAATGTATTAAAATTTTTCTCTTTTTCACACTCTTGTTTCTTTACAGCCATCTGCTTCACCTTCCATCTTCCCCTTAAATCTTCTATCCCCAACTGGTTTGTTTTTATTTTCACGATCATTCCGGTTACATTTCATCTTTATTTCAACATTTTATTTTATCATGCTGAGCCATCCTTTCCCAATGATAATTTCCCTATCTATCTTTTGATGAATACCTAAGTCATTAACAATCAAACGATTATTAAACTTTCCTTGTTTTTAAAAAAATATCTATGTTTATTTAACCTCACTGTCACCATGTATAACAGAAGTTGATTATCAGTATTATTATCATCCTGTAAAAATAAGTATATATATATATATATATATATATATATATATATATATATCAGTTTTGAAAATGATTCGCCGAAAAGAGAACTCTTCGCTGAACTAATCTTTCTTATTTAGTGTCTTAATGAGTGTATTCCGTTTATCTATTAATTCAATGGACCAGGAAGTAAGTCGGACAGATCACATTCGCTTTTCATCCTCTCAATTTCCTGAACAACACCTCCGCCACCAGAAGGAAGTGAGTAGGACTTCGCTGACAGTGTCTGTATACACGTGGCCATGTGAGAGCATTTTGAGAGAGTTGACTCTTCCCACCCTCGGCCGTAACAGAGCATTCGGAGGACGAAACATATAATTGAAACGGGGCATAAAAATGACATTATTACAGCTTTTAAAAAAAAAGTTGTATAGAAATTTTCAAGGACAAATTCTCAGGTTTATTGAAGCCTTGGTTATTCGTAAATTTAAACTCCCTCCTTTATGTGTACAAAAAACAATTTGTTGTAAGCTTGAATTTACCCTGGTAATCCTTAAATCATTCTATGGTCTAAAGTAACACGACAATTTCTTATTCTTTCTATACGATGTAAAAAAGACGATGAGATTGAATTCGCTTCATATCTTTCTTTCTACGAACTAATTCTTTCTTCCTGTACTATGTGCTTATAATGAAACCTTTCATTTATAAATTACCACCATTGAACTAACTACTTCTATGAATCCAGTGTTCATCTTGTTGTGCTTATGAGGTATGGCAACTTGGACCGATGCCTAGCCCAACGTTGTAGCTGACTGAATGATTTATAAAAAATGCCCTGACAAGTATACATGTGACCGGATTGTTCGAAATGTATGGCGTAAATACATCACATTTTTTTCAGATCAACTCTATCTTTTCATTACTCTATCGAAATTTACAATAGGGACTAATTGCTTTAAATACCAGGATGTTTGGTTGATAAATCAATTAGAAACTGGAAAGAATAAACGGGTTTCACGTCTTTTTGTACAAAATTCACAATGGAAGCAATCATGTTTGAAATTATTGGGGAAATTATTCTTTTACACAATCCAAAAAAAGGATAGTTATCAGTATAGGGTTGCGCATTGTAATTGAGACCATGAACCTGCCAATGTTCGATAACCATTGAAAACCTGGAAGCACTGGACGGCTGTTTCGTCCTAGTCCGGCATTAACACTGGTCGATGCCGACTCAGAGGTCTAGAATTTAAATATTCACGAGCGAAGCCGAAGTTCCTAGGTTCGAAT